GTAGAATACTTTATTTTCGCTTGGAATTTATTTTCGCTATTTTCGCTGAAGGGATGATTCCGTGAAAATAAAATCCAGCGAATATACTTTTTTTCCTATGATTCACATTAAACTCATCAAAAATCAGTGAAAATAAATTTCAAGCAAAACGCCCAAAAAACCTTTTCAGTGAAAATTAATTCCAGCGAAAATAAAGTATTCCACAGTACTTCATCATCCAATGTAAAGAATGGAATGTGTTTGAATGTGACGTCAGTAACCTGTAACGTGTTCAGTGTTGATGACCTCATTTATTATTTCAATTATTTATTTGAAAATTGCACAGGGTCATTATGCATTTACATGCTCCTCAAAATAAAAACACACAACATTATAAGTAAAAATACACTGTACAAGAAATATAAAAATACATAGGAAAATATTGCATGCTGAATGTAATTTGTAAATTTGTATACACCACTGAATATATCAACATTTGGAGAGTTTTACTACATGTATATCATTAAAATTGGTTTTATATATATTTATGGGTAAAGTATTTGAGACAGTCACATTAGTGTGGCTGGGCAGGACACATAGAGTACATGCAATACACATTCTGCACATACAACACTAGAAAAAGCAACTTTATACGGAAACCAACCCTTTTTTACAGTCACACTCATTTTCAATAGTGTTTTCTTAAAGTGCTTGTTTGTCTTGCAATTGTGTCATTCTCTCGCAATTTGCTTCAATTCAATTATGATCTTTATCACATCACAATAGTTGATTGCCTTGACATTGTACATTTTGAAAACACAGTATTTGGATGAGCTAAATTCGCGAGACCGGACTATGTTGTTTGTATATTATATGTAAATGATCTAACTGAAGTCTTGTTCTCATAGGACGAAATTAGCCACACCGGCCTTTTTTTGACAGCCTCGGGAAGCATGTGTGAACAGAGTACATCATTGTGGCAGCGATGTTTTTAATATCATCATATAATAGATGGATTGTAACGCTGTGGTGATACCTACATGGGTGTCAATACAATATGGTACACCAAACTAAGCGATTTCTATCATCTACTTATTTGTGCTTATCAATACACAAGTGCTTCACCCCCAATTTAGTTTGAATTGCCATGATGAAAAAAAACAAGACTTTGATATCAGTAAGGAGAGAGGATACTAAAGAATGGTGAATGTGGATACCCATCTGCTTGCGAAAAAGACTTTAAAGGGCGGAATCATAGTAACAATCTTGCTTAAGCAAGTAGCATGGAATGTGCCCTCTTCTTTGCGAACACATGAAAAAAAAAATCAGAACAGAGTCCAGTTCCATCAGTAGATGTTATTGTTCTGACCCATGACCTAGTTCAATGAATGGTGTATTTTTTAAGCAATCATCAAATGAAGAGAAAAAAATGGGCTGTTTTATGTCATGTGAGAACAGTTTAAATTGATCCAATGCTAATTTTAAAAAAAAAGTTGTCCACAGAAAGATTATTAAATATCAGGAAAAAAAAAACAATTTTCTAAAACATTTACTTGGCCTTATATATACATAAATACATTCAGTGAGTCCGTCAACAGCCCAGCACAAATTTCATTTGAGAAAAATCACCATACCCTTTTTTGTTAATGGAATATTCTATAAAAGCCCACGGTATTTACATTCATTGAGTAAAAAGACTATGCAACTCAAGCTCAAAACAAGAAATTCTAATCTGGTGTTTGAACACACATACCATAAGTATTCTTTTTACCAAACAGTAAATTTTATTGTTTTTGGTGCTACTTGTAAAATATTTAAAAAATCTAGTCGAAATAATTATGTCAGATATTCCTAAATGTTTCCTTATCTGAAAATACTGATAAATATACAAAAACTTATTATTGTTGAATTTATTCACAACTTTTTTGTACTGAGAAAAAGAAAAACAACTTGTTTTATATTCATAAAATTATCATATTACATGTCCTGCCTCTACATGCTGCCCTTAATGTATGGATTAACATTTGTTGGGATTTGTTTTTATAAAAATTGAATAAATTCTTTAATATTATTAATTATCTTTCATGTTTGTGTGTGATTCAATGTGCCTATCTGATTCTATCCAAACCCTAATATTAATTCATATGTACCCATAATGCAATACTTGTGTGGTTGGGTCATCCATTGTTTGTTGTGGTTGGTTTCAAGAATTGCAGCAGTTAGTGGTGATCTCTTCTATTACTCAATCCACTGAAGTCAATCACATATTTAATGTGCTAAAATTGTAGAATAAGTGAAAAATATGGCATGACTCACAATCGGGTTGTTTTTGAGCCAGTACTATGTTGTATTTTGGCAAGGTTGCATGCTTCTCGCAGAAGTAAATGGATACCTTATTTGCTTTATTAGTATATTAGTATATTATATGCTTATATAATACTGTGATCAAGTTTGTAGGTCCATGATAATACAGAGCTATGTATATAACCCAAACCATGGAACAAAGAAATTAATGATCTTGCTTTCAATGCTTGCTATTTTTGGTTTATGTGCACTTTTATTTGACATGTGCATACAGCAAATATGGTTTACCTAATATGACAGTGCTTAGTGTTCACGCATTTTGAAAAGCTCAGATTTTATGCTTCCATGGGTACTATATTGGCCCAGTGATCCATGTTGTCCATATATCAAGTACATGGCAACAGATCACTGAATAACTACTGAATTAATTTGTATATGAATGCCTGTATTATTTTCATTTGCTTGAATGGAAAGCTAACATTGACGGCACTGTTTTTTTCTGACAGGCCTTAGGAGTTGATGCAGAAGCAGGGAAAATCAACATTCAAGATTTATCCACATCATTAGAACAAGTATTGATGACATCAGGGGATGAGAATGGAGTTTACCAAGCAGCATTATCAACATATCAATCGGAACTAAAACACTTGAAAACGCAGCTAGATACAATAGGTGGTGAGAAAAACAAATTACGTGCTGACCTCAATGAGGCCAATGCTAGGAATGCTAAATTGGTGCAGGAAGTAGATGATAGGCATGCTAATCTGGAAAAGAACATGGAGATGAGAGTGAGGTGGGTGAAATTGTACAGATGTATAAATAATGGCACCCTAGAAATATGTGAACATCTTGTATGAATAGTGATACAGATTAAACATTGTTACACATATAGGAAGACTTGTACGTTTAATTGGATAACACCATAAACTCTTTCCCTGAAGTAGCAAGATTGGGGTGGCGAAAAACGCCTGCTTTTGTTTCATCCATAGAGGGCACAATGTAGAGAAAGAGAGTATTGCACTGTACCTTTTCAGTTTGAATATCTGACTAAATATTAGAGAATGAGATGCCGCCTGTATATTATTTGGTTCTGTCAATAGAAATAACTGACCAACTGGACTTGTTTCTTTTTTTTATTTTAAAGACAAACTGAGAAAAAGTACCAGGACAAACTGAATTCTCTTCATGCGGAGATTGAAAGAGAACGAGAAATGATTTCCTCTCAGGCAGCCCGACAGAAACAAGCTTTAGAAGACATTATCGATCAGTTGAGGGCCGAAGAATCTCTACTTAAAGAAAAGCTAGCTTTAGCACAGAAAGAGAACAATAGATTGGAAAGAGAAGTCAGGGAATCAGGGGAACGACTTGGAGAGTATGAGAAAACCAACCAGAGGCTCATGAGGGATTTGGAAGATTACAATGTATTGCAAAAGCGGGTAAGTAATACGGGTGTGATTACAAATATATTTAGTTGCATTACTTTCAGCTATTAATGCTAATAATATCAGATGTAAAAATGTCATCATGGGAATTGTGATTAGTAAGGATTGGTAGTGATGTGTTTACATGCACTCAACATTCACACAGTGTACATGTGCTGGTACTATCAGTCTGTCATATACTCTCACAACTATTTCACTTTATCCATCTCTCCATCATGCAAACAGTGATAGAATATGCAGTGATGCTACATTTTTCCTGAGAACATAATTTCTTATCAGAAACCAGAAGTAGCATTCCAAGACAATCTCTCTCATAGATTTTCTAAAATTAAATACAGTTAAACATGATTGTGATATGTTGACTTAAGAACACCACATCATCAAAAAAAACAAGAGAGCTTTCACAGTTAAGTCATTCTACCATAATGAGCTCCACCACAGTCACTCTACTCTACTAGTAGAGTGACTGTGGCTACACTAACTGCACTAAATTTGACATATCAATACTATAAGGGGATCAGGTTTGATATAACACCATTACAAAATATGTATTTCTACACATCCAAAAAAGTAGTTCCCAAGAATATCACAATGATTTGCTGAGCTTTATCATCAATACAAAATGTAAAAAAATAAAAATACCAATAGTACATAATTCTATAGACACAAGCACATATTACAAATAAATAGACTTGCTGAAAACAGCATCATATTTGATAACATTCAAAGATGTTAGAATTACATTAAACAAGAGTATGATCTAAATGAAGTTACAAGTGAAAACTCCAGTATTGAGGATTGTTTACAAAGGTAGGTTTTACATGCTCATGGAATTGATTATAACACATGTTGTAATTCATTCACAAACCAATACCCCATTACAGGTACAGAACTTGCTAGACAAGAAAACTCTATTTTGATGTAGGACATTATACAAACATGTACATGTTATAAGTAAAAAGTCATAGGCTGGGTCTGTTACAGTAACTCTATATGGCTATCATCCAATTTGGCTTCTTGTAAAGTTATGGAGATGCTACACTTGGCAGTGTCAGTATTTACCCAGCATTGGGATCCTACAATCATGACTGAATATTCATCTTTAGATACAGCTGCTTCTCAGTAGTTGGAGTTATAGTTATTTTCTCTATAATATCTCCATTCATATTCGCAATTTTTTTCTGATACAATGATCATCACTGCTTTGGTCCACCAATGCGTAGCTGTTTGCTATCTGAAGTTGGTTAAGAAACTGGATTAATTTTTCCGCTTGGTGGAGTTAAAATAAACAGAAGGTTGAACTTGTGTACATGTATTGGTTTGGCACCTGTGATCCCTGCACTGCTTTCAATACCTCTTAATTCCTGCTCAAACCAATATTGAGTATGCCATGCAAATTCCTAAGGTTATACATTGACTTCTAGTCATTTTTAGTCTTAAATACATCAATCTTTCACTGTTGCTTCTTTTAGGTGACTTGGTAGATTGTTTTCATGTCTGAAAATGGCCAATTGGTGTACATTTTGTTTTTTGTAGTTAGTTATACATAGGTTACAAATGCACATGTATATTTTTGTTTGTAGTTCAATGATGTTTTCCACACTTTATTTGTCACATCTAAGGACATAGTTAATGGTTCTAAGTGATTTTGATGATTGATATTGTTATTCATGTTTCCATGATGTTCCATGGGCGTCATTCAAATATCATTCAAGAATATAGCTTCACAGCAGCCCTGACAACATGTTGCTGTTGTCAGCCACTAGTCTTTGGTTAAATATACCGCAAGAAAGAGCCGCTGATATTTTATATGATCCGGCAAGTCAACAGCAATTTATATAGAACAAAAACAGCAAAAAGACACTGTATTGTAACATTCAATTGTGGAAAGGTGAATTGTGTGATGATCTTAGATTCTTCTTTATTGACACCAAATTAATGACAGGGACTATGTCATATACCAGTACATTGACTTGTTTCCTTACTTTTTTTAGACAACAGTTCTCTACTCAGTCAGATATTCGTATTTTAAAATAAAAAAGGGGATTAAAAATTGCAAAAATAATGTATGTACTGGTTCATTTTCTTAATAAAGACTATTCTAATTGCTTTTTTTTTCTATCATTTTTTTAACAGAAGAAAAGTGTAACTGTAAGGAGTTACAAGAGTGACTCATTGTCGAGAGTCCTTTGTAATCTTATTTAACAAATTAATTATTACAACTACTTTGCAATGCAGATATTTATCACTGTGGTATGCCAACTGTCTTTCCAACTAAAATATTTCATACAAATAATTGTTTATTTATGAATGTGAATCATCAAGAATTTATTGTATAGATATTTGTATATTTTATTAAAATTAAAGTTTTAATATTTAATAAAAATTTAGCTGAATTATTACTTTTGTCCAAATGTCTGAATGATTCTGTTGAAAACCTTATCTTACAATTTGGAGAAGATTAGAAATGGCCATGACATGTTAGAGACGCAAGTCATTCCAAAAGTATATGAAGCATGGATATTAATTAAAAATTTTGTTGGAACTACATCGATACAACTATATTCAGATTATAGATAATCATTCTAAGAGCAGACACTCATGACTAAATTGTTCAGTTAACATTAAAACTCACTGTTAAATAATTTCAATTATCTTTTTAGAGGTTTGTTGTTTCTTTCAACCCATCATGCAACAATTCCCAATCATCTATGTGTTCATTTAATATATGTAGCCATAGATTATGATGATGAACCCTTGTTGCATCTCATATTCTCTCTATGCAGTGAAAAGCAAATTATGAAAATTGTAGACTTTTAATTATTTCACTGGTTTATTATCTCTGGAGTTTAAAATGCTTGGCTAGTGTAGCATAGGAACCACAATATCTCAAACAAACTACATCCTTATACATGTTGTATCATAATCACTGATCTTCATAGTATATTTGTAATTACCCTGACCCTTGTATTCCATTTCATGTTACTCAGCTAGCAGAGTTGGAAGCTCAGGAAGATCGCATCAATGAGAAACAGGTTCAATTTTATGAACAGAATTTAAAAGAATATCAGGAACAAAATAGAGTAAGTCGTGTGTTGTAATACAGGTTTTACAATCGGGCACATCTCAAGAAATGTCGCATATTATCACTGACCAAAGAGGGTGCTAGACATAGCTGTAGATGCAAGCATTTGAGCTAAGCGTATGTGACTGATATATATATGTAATTTAGATCTTAATTTAAAGATGAACAAAGACAAAAACATTTCTTATCTTGAAAAACTGAATTCAAATGAGTTTGTTGGGGGGGGGGGATGGACAATGTCCTTCTCAGGATGATTTGCATATTTGCATAACGTGTCGGCATGCTTACCTTTTGCTTAGGGTAAAATCTTGTTCATTTCTATTAACAATGAACAGAAACAAATTATAATGGGAAAAGGAGGACAGACTTAAGTAAACGGTGTTTGCCCATTTTCTCCTTCAAATTAAACTTTTTTTCAAATAAACCAATGTTTTCTTCTACAGGGTCTTCGAGATGAGAATGATGAACTACTTCAGCAAGTGCAGCTTCTCCAACAACAGTTATCTGATAACAAGGTCCGTAGGAAAGGCGGGCGCTCTCGTGATCTCACCAAGCCTAACAGAAATGGCTCTGTGTTATCAGATTACGCTAAACCTGTTATTATCAGAAGAAAAGAAGATAATTCCTCTTCAGGTAACTATTTTGTTGAAAGTAAATCAAAGTATAATTTATATAGAAATTTTACAATGTCGTGCCAAAGAAAATTTCCCAGCAATGTGAAATTGAACTTGTTTAACAATTCAAAAATTCAGTACCAACTGTAGTGATACTATTCGTATCTGTGAATGATTAATTTGAATCTGATAATAAATTGGATTAGATCTAAGTTCTGTGTAAATCAGCCATGATTCGGGAAAAGGCTTCTCTAGAAAAATTTGTCTTTGATTTGTATGTCGCATGAGGGTTTTTACCTGGGTAAATGTTTTATAAATTTCCATTAAATTGTTCATGGAATATAAAGGATTTATAATATAGGGTATACACATTTGATATTTATATACTAGTATCGTGATATGTGAAGGACAGTTTTATGTACATGTTAGTAAAATTTATTCATGACAATGGCACCGTGGTATCCCAAAGTCGCAATAAATATATTATACTGGTATACTTGAGAACACTAGAAAACAACTTGAGATCAAAACTAACTACTTTTTTTGCCTTTATTGTTTTTAGAAATGTCTGTTTGTCATTTTTTGATCATTTTGCAAATTGCTCATCTACTTGTGAGATTTTTGTCACATATCACATGTTCACTTATCTTATAAATCCTTGGTAATGTACACATCTCATCTCGGAATCATTGATTTGACATTGTACCATGTATGTGTCAATATCAGTCACATCCCAATATATGTAACTCTTCTAACATTTATTCACAGAAGATGAGAGTGAAGCAGAAGAAGACTCACCTGCAAGTTCCGGTAAGATGAAACGTCGTCAACTCCCAACAGCTATGAGGTCAGGTGGGGATGGGGGGTCCAATGAGGATGAAGAAGTCCAGAGTATTGATAGTAAGTTGTGATTGGCTAGAACCTAGTTTGCCAGTGAATGGCATGAAGTCACCCTAGATAACCTTGACTGGCATGGTAACAGATTAGAACCTGGCATGAAGTTTCCCAACCATGTTATGGTAGATTCCCACTCTAGTCAAAGTGCAGTATGAATTCTATCTTCCTGCAATGTAGTATGTAATTTAAAGGTTTATAAACAGCAGTGTGCAAATATTATGCAAAACCAACACTTTTTTAATTCTATGTTTTTCATGATGTGACATGAGAATGACAGACCAATTACATATGGAATGACAATTGTAGGTGATCTAGTGCTGAATATATTTCACTTGGTATATTCCTTCAACCTGTCTTACCAGTCATTCTGCCACAGCCACTAGCACAGTAATGCTATGGTGTTCGAAATTGCCATACCTTGTCTGTCGTCAAAAGAATATGAATATTTCAAAAATGCATTATCAATAGCCAAATGTTGTTTTTATTTAAGAGATTGTATTCATTGTCATAAATTTAACATGAATCTGGAAATGTACTCATCCTGCACTAATAACATGTTATCTTCCTAGTACCGGGTAATCTTGATAGACAGTGAAATTTCACAAAGCAGTTTTAACCTTCATTCATATTGAAATAGTCGTATTGATATCAATATTGTTGTCAACTCCAATAGATGCAAAGCATGCCGAAGAGATCCAGCTGCTGAACAAATCACACACTCAGGATATCAACGAGATGAGGATAAACTTTGAACGTGAACGTAAAGATATTGAACAAGTATACAAGCTTGAAATTACAGAATTGGAGGATAGTATGAAAGAACAGAAAGAAGAATTCAATCGTAAGAAAGATATGTGGATCTCAAAGCTACAAGAACAGGAAAAGTTTGCCAAAGAGGAGGCTGAGGACAGAGAAAAAAAATTTAGAAGGGAGCTTGCACATTTACGAGAGGAACATGATCAAGAGAGAATGGAACTTTTACAAAAATTTGCAAGAGAGAAATCCGAGCTGCGGGATACGTTAGAGGCAGAGTATAATTCTGATCTTGATATAAAGATTGCAGAGGTCAAGAAAAACCTTCTGAGAGAGAAATCACATCTAGAAAAACAGTACACTATAGAAAAGTTGGATATTGAAGAAGGTTATGCCAGGGAGAAAACAGACAGTGAGGTCATGTATAAGAAAGGACTGTCTGATTTAGAACTGCAGTTCACAGAAGAAAAGCATCATCTAAAACAGCAGCATGGAAGGGAAAAAGCTGAATTGCAACAGAAATATAAAGATGATATTGCAGAGTTACAACAGATATTTGTAAAAGGTGAAGCTGGTTTGAAAGGGCAGTTAAGAGCAGATTTTAATGAACTGCTTGAAAAACATAAACGAGAACTGGACATGAACTATGAGAGGGAGAAACGTGAAATGGAACTTATGTTTGAAAGACGGCAACAGGATCTGCAAGGAGAGGTACAAGATGAAAAGTCCCAGCTTGCCAATTCATACCATCTGGAAAAAGCTTCCATGGAAGAAAAGTACAAGAAAGAACTAGAATCAGAAAAAGCCATCCTGGAAAATAAAGTGAAACAAAAAATTCAAGTAAGTTTAATTTTAATAAAACAGAAATGTGTTAATATAAGTAGCTGTGATTTTATCAGTCAGTAAAAGTGTTCATGATGTGTCAACTTTCTCCTAATATGGATGTGTTGGTTTTCAGCACGAGATGGAAGGAAATTTTGTAGATCAGATTGAGAGAATAAAAGCAGCACATGAAGAAGATATTGATGATATTAAAAAAGAGAACCAACATCTTGAAGACAAATTAAATGAGGTAATTATCCTATACATTTACTAGCCAACAGCAGAGAGTCAATGCGAAGATATTTACAAGATTGTACCTGATTGGCTACCCAACCCCTAACACCTAACTGTGTCAAACCAATCAGAGAGCAGCTTGCATTGTGTCTGATTGGCTACCCAACCCTAACACCTAACTGTGTCAAACCAATCAGAGAGCAGCTTGCATTGTGTCTGATTGGCTACCCTATCCCTAACACCTAACTGTCAAACCAATCAGAGAGCAGCTTGTTTGTTGATAGTGTTTCACATTTTGCCTTGTGCTTGGACTCAACTGTCAGCAAATGTTTGCATGAGTATGAAAATCAAACATTTCACTGCATCATGCAATGTCATGTTATTAAGCCTACTAATTAGCTCAAATATCCCATTCATATTAAATTGTGTTTTTGGCCAGAATATATAATTTCAAACTTCTGAATGTTTAATGATAAATATTTGTTTTTCTTTTAAAATAATATTGTTCAATAGACCATTTTCCATTCTCTGTGAGAATTACGTGTTATGCGTGAAATCGAACGTAAAAACAGGACAAACAAAGGTAATAGCGTCGTAGTGGCGTCAAACATCGCATGGGATTTGACAAACGCGAAAGTATTTTGGGGGATATTTCCATGCTTAATAGTATTCGAAAGCAATATTCCTCTGTCAAAGATCAACCGTTCGATGTGAGCTACATGTATGAAATAAAGAAATTTGAGTTCAAAATCAAATCGTTCGATTTTTGCGGCAGACGTTCGATGCACGTTTTTCATGCAACTCGCGAGATCTCGCAGTTGAACAGAGAATCACCTACATGTATTGGCCTCCACTGTGAAAAATATTCCAAGTGTGAAGCTATGAGGTCATGATCATATATATTGATGAATAGTTGCTTGGACAAAAAGTTAATTCTTTTTTTAACACATCAAAGTGATCTGAGATTTGTGTCTAAATTAGTATTTGCTTATTGATATCCTCACAGGCTGGAATTACCATAGAACAATTAGAAAAGCGTATTAAATCAATGGAAGTGGAAAAACAGGAAAACATATCAATGATGAAATCACAGAGTTCACATGCAGTGCAACAGAGAAGTACACTGGATAAGGTACAAATCAGATCACACTAAAAAATACTGAGCATTTCATATATGTCCGCTGTGCATGTTATCCAATTTGCATTTATAACAGATTCTTAGTAAGCTGTTTCTTGAGATAATGAAATATTCTTTTACCGTATTATTCTAGTTGTAGCTGGATTTGTGAATAATGTATACCAGTAAACTATAGCAATGAGATTTTATCGAATTTATTTACATATTTACAAAAATGTATAAACAAACAAAAATATTTAAACTTTTAAACTTTGAATTTTTTAGCACATAATTTTTACAGCTAGGAATTTTCGATTTAATGACATTTCACAAAAATTACTGACACTCACTGTTGTAGATCAGCACAGAAATTTACATAAAATTTTGTGATTTTTGCCGGCTCATGAATATTTGTTCACAATTGATTTAATTATATTATTATTATGTAAATGAGTGTTCAAGCTTGGCTGCATTTATTCAATTGTTATGCTGTCCCATTAAGGTGGTATATTACTATGTCATAAAAATTGTGAAAAGCTTAATAGCCCACCAAATTCTTGATATTTTGCCGAGTGAAAGATCCCATCCAATGTACTCGGTACTCAAACTTGTTCCCATGGAGACTATAAATTTGCTGTTTCCTCATAGTGTTAACTTAGTCAAAATACATACAAGAGTTTGGGTACCTTATTTTGTTTAGACTTTCGAATAGCCAATCAGAGGGAACATTGTATTTGCTCTATTAGTAGTGCATAAATGCATACATGAATAGCGGAAGTGTGCCTATGGTCAATATGTCATATTTCAATATTCTGGTATATAATATACGCAACTGCTGGATTACATGTGCTTCTAATAGAGCAAATATGATAAGCTTGGCAAAATTTCAGGAACTTCTTACGTCAAATATGTGTTAAGCTCGTTCATCCTTATCAACGATAAGTCTTATTTGTAAATCAATCGTGGCAGAATGTCAATCATCCAACCTGGTGGTAAAACAGGAATATTACAATACGGGTAATCATCGTTATGCATTGTGTGCTAACTATGGATATTCTATTACAGCCAGTAGATAATATAGTCAAGACTTCTCCCATCAGACATAGAAAGTTACAAGAGAAAGACAAACTCCTCATAAATAGGGTATCCATCTCATAGGTCATACATTGCATGGCCATTACTGAATATGCACTCAAATAAAATCTCTGCCTTTGGGATATCACTAATCACTGCGGAATCAGGGCTTCTTCTTTTTTTTGATTACTTGCTATAAATAAACCTGTTTCTTAAGGTTTTTGATTTATAATCACAACCGGTTCTTCGCTATGTGGTTATTTATATTTTCCTAAATATGTTTTCTTTTTTTTCTCTTCTTTCATCTTATCGATCGATGTTCAACATATCATTTAGTTCATAAATTGTTTACCTGTTTATTGGGTTCAGTCATCTCAAAATCTCATTTCCTTAGTGTCTTCTTGTTGTCGTAGCTTGTCTTCAGTAGCACACTGATCATGAAGGACAATTGAGGAGAATTAAACCAAAATGCCTTCAGTGAACAATGAATAAATTTGTCATCTATTTTGTTCAAAATATAATACCAGTATATGAAAATGGAGTAGCATTGTAAAAACACAGAAATTTGTAAGTCCTTTTGCTTTAAATCTGAAAGCCATATTTTACAAGTAAGCCGTGTTATTATCTTATAGTGGATGCCTTTCTTTAAGTCTGATCACCCCCCTGAAGGCAATTCTTCAACAGTAAGTCTTATTAGTAAAAATGAAAGTATCTGCCCTGTAGATATTAATCTTCTTTTCTATACATGGAACATATAAGTCCAGTGTAGATATAGTCTAAGTTGCCATAGAAATTGTAATTTCCAGGAAGCACCACTTTAATTGCATGCAGCCTGTATTAAGTCTTGTTGCCATATTAAAAATAAATGTAATTGGAAGGCAAGTAATATGGGTTATGCTAAAAGTGTTAAGGTTTACACTGTAACTTTGTGCATAATAAGGTAGATGGTGATTGTAATACAAGCTATACATAAAGCAGCATTTTTTTTTTAATTTCACTCAGGAAAACTGATTTGTTGTTTCTTATATGATAAATATGTATTGGCTGCTATGATTTAAATCTTTACATTTAAAATGATTTGGACCATACATTTTGATGCTTATGACATTTGCAAGAGCATCCAGAGTTATTATTCCTGCTATCTATCTAAATCATTCTTAGTCAACCATAACAAGTTATTCCAAATTCTGATTTGAATTCCCCCAAAACACAACTAACCTAGGAAGTATGTATTGTTTGATGAACAAAATTTGCTCAAGTGCTTTTGGATATACAAGTACAAGAATTATCTTACAGTTTAGAAGTTATACAGAAAAAGTCTTGTAGTACATGAAGGACTGATTACACCAATACAAAATTATATTTCAATTAGGTTCTAGTAGTTGAATATAGGAGTTAATACAAATACCTAAAAAAAATTGAATCTTTAATTTTAAATTAAACTGAGAAATAAAAAATGTAAGAACAATCAGAAAGTATTTCAGTATTTTACCTCAGATTTATTCATGTAGCATACACACATATGTCATGCATGCAGCACCTGCCTATCAATGTTTAATAATGTTTTGTATGTTATGTAAATATCTGAGAGTACTTGTGCACCATCTATCTGGGCATAATTGTCAATCCTAATTTCAGCCATAGTTTTAAGCAATTGTAATTGATCTGTAGATACTAACCTCATTTCTGTGTGAATTTAATTAATTTTCCTCAAAGGCTGCTTATGAGGAATTGGAAAATGAAAAAAGTTTGCTAGAATTGAAAGTTCGGGCATTGGAGCAGAAACTGAAGATTCAAATGATGCCATCTGAGAGAGCTAACATGGTCTCTGTGAGTGTGCAGGTGAAGGCATTGGTACAGACTAGGCATATACAGACAGATGGGAGAAAATTGAGAACCATTACTACCCAGACTGAACACAGGCTAGTGTCTAAGGGTGTGCAATGGCCAGAGGTAACAGAATCCAAATGGTTGAACTGGATATGGAATAAAAGTAACACTTCCAATTGTGCTGTTCAAGCTACAGTGTACAGTATGCATAGAGCTGTACAGACCAATCTACCACAATCAGATAGTCTAATATCACGTAGGATGAACACCATGTTTAGTAAACCTGACGTCTCACTTAGCAGTATGAAGAGTACCATCGGTACCATGACTGATATGGTACCAGTAAACGTGGAACAGGATAGCATTATAGAGCAGATTGTGGCTGAGCGTATACAACAAGCCATGCTGCCAGTTACTGATGCCTTATACAGGGAACACACTCAAATCACATCAGCAACAGATGGGCCAAATCTACATAGTGCTGTGGCATTGTCTGAGGTTGGAATACAAGTATAATCCAAGTTTCTTTTCTTTCAGCATGACCATTGGGATATATAGGTGGAGGATATATTTATCTCTAATTATTTTATTCTTCTTTCATCCCAATCCCAGGTATACCACTGTTAAATGGTGATGGTGACTTCCCTTCCCATATGCATACAAATATAAATACTTATACCGTAATATTAACATGATATTCATTGATTTGTCTTTAATTTCAGGCTAAAGTTGAGATGCTGGAAGAGGAAAGAGCTACTTTGAAGAGAGATCTTAAAGCTACTAATCAGAAGGTATGGAATATATCATCAATATTTGTAATATCTGGGAATGTAAATATCAAAAATAATTATTATAAAACATGCAAACTTTGTATTTGTTATAAACCATTCAAAATAAATTATTAAGAGAATAGTTCAATGCTTCACACATACACTTAAATAAATAACAAGATTTGAAAATGAGCCAAAATAACAAAATATGTTTCTAATTTCATATATATTCTTACCCATATTTGTTCTATCAGAATTTCATCTTGAATATTGTATGTAATATAGGATTCACTTTAGTTTGACCAATATACACACCATAAAATGTTGAGATTATGGATAGGTAAAGACAAATTAACTGCATATACCGGTATATGAATATAAGAGAGTTTGTCTAAGGGATAACAACCTTCAATAATCTCAAAATAAAATGCATGGGAAAGTTGGCACAGAATTAGCTACTATTTAAAGGCACACTGCCAGTTTGGCCTAATTTCACAGATAATTCACTTACTAGATTAATAACAATAGAAAACAAAAGAGAGATAACAGTGTGAACAACGTAAACATGTCCCATGATACACTGGTGGAATCCCTGGGATTCAGAAGTTCCCCTTTAATATATCATATTTTTAAGTTAAAACAGCAGCATTTGAAGCCATTTAATGTTTATAGTTTGTTACGGGTGTGTGATGTTTTACATATTTACAAACTAAGATGTAGAATGTATCTGTCATCTTAAATTAACATTAAATTAATTTAACATTCAGTTACTTGAAAGCAGAACCTCAATGTCTCTGGCACAATCTCAGCATATCAGAGAGATGCAAAGACTACGAGATCATAAAAGTGAAATGACTGAAAAAGAAGTGTTCACAGCAAACAGTAAGCTGGCTGTAAAAGACAAACGCTTACAAGAATTAGAGAAATTATTGGCCGAAAAGGAGTCGGAATTAAGTGGTGTTTTACACCGTGTCAAGGTGGAACATGATAATGAGATGAGAAGTTTGATTGAAGAAAAAACCAACATGGAAAAGAAACATCAGATATCAAGAGGTCTGTTAGATGATAATCTTATCAAGTTGAAGGAACAGGTATGTTATTATTTCTAACTCCAGCACTGGCTGGTCAAGTTTATGTTAGAATTCACACTTTCATGAAATAAGTTATATATAAAGTTTCAGGAATAACAATACTAACACTCAGTCTAAATATAGTCTCTTATATTTGCATGCATTTCATTGAAAGTTATAAAGTGATGTTGATCTCAATGACAACCACTAATTGGTTTAGAGAATTGATTAATCTACTTGATATTCAAGGAATAAAAGACTCAACACTCCTCAGTCAAACCCATTATTTAAGCAAACATCTCCATCCAATTTGTTTATTTTAATTATAATTATCATGAAATGCCGAAATATTGAATTTACATGCAGTCCAATCGAAAACAAGATTAACATGCAATAGTGCTTAAGAAAGAAATCAACATTTTAGCATTGCATAGACATTTGTATTTCAACATGTGAAGACATGCTCTAAATGAAAATGTCCATGACTGATTAACATGAATGATTGATTGTGGGTTCTTTGTATCTGTACAAATATTACACATTTTTTTACATAAATATAATACATTTGATTTTGCTGATTTAAATACAATCTTGTTCGTCTGTTCGTGCATTGACCTCAAAAAAAATCTCCAGTTACAATTTGAAAACAGGGTTATAACATGGTACAGATTAACCAATGAGAACATGTCGTTTCAAGAAATGACATCTAGTGTTTTCATTTTATAATTACATTGTTATAAACATGATATAAACATTGAGGAATGGAATAATGATTTCACTTTAATAGTGCCTTTTCTGTTGATATTGGTGTTTCACTATATTAATGATGAGAGGCCACAAGATTAAAATATAAAGCAAATTTGTACTATACTGTTACTTTATCAAAATCTGTATTTATTATTTATTTATGTATCATTGAGTACAAAATATTATGAATTTTGTGTATTGACCCAATAATTTTTCAACCTATTCAATTAAACTGAAAAAATAACATTTTTTTTTATTTCAAATGTGTTACATAATTGTTGATTTAGGCACAAGACATTGGGCTTTTTTATATGGTAAAAAAATTGTTTGCAGCAAAACTTTCAGAAAAAATTCATGTAGTATTAAATTTTGCAATAATTGAGGGCAATTAAAGTACCCAACTGTTAACTACATATGATTTTTTCGCCATATGTACATGACAGATTTGTAGGTATGACATTTGACTTATTTTTATTGTAAAAAGTAGCTCAGAGAAACATACATTTTTTTTTTTTTTGACAAATAACATAAAATAAAACTATATGGTAAAAGTCGAGGAAATTTGTGATAATTTTTGAAAAATACAATAATAGAGATGCAAATATCTCCTTATTGTGATCTACCAGTACTGTAAACACATTAGTTATTCGCTGGTTTTTAATTTTGCTATTTTTGTGGATCAGTAAAATCTGCTATATTAAATCCATATGAAAGTAGAATAAAAATAGAACTAATTGTTTATTTGACAAGTTCGTGAACTCAAAACCCAGTGAAATTGCTCAAAACCCAGTGAAATTGCTCAAATCATCAAAATAGTGAAATTAAATGCTTTACAATATTATGTTAGTCAAGATTATTATGTTCCTATAATGAATTCTGTGCTAGTATAACCTGGGATTATTTTGTACCTACTGTGTATGAATAATACGGTAGTATTACCTAACTCTAATATTTTGTGCAGTCATATATAATGTCATCTCATGGACACCATGCAACAGCTGTGGCTTGTACATTGCTCATACTTATAATTTAAAATTGACAGGATTATATTTATATTAAAAATTTGTAATAACGTACAGGAAGATGCAAAATTCCTGGCTTATTTATCCTTATTTATTATTATTACTTATATGAAGTTGTTGTATTCATTTCATTGCAGTTAAACACATCAACAAAAAGGGACATGTTATTAAAAGACTTGTATATTGAGAACAGTAACCTCATGAAAGCCCTGGCTGATACAGAAGAACGACAGAAATCAGCAGAAAGAAATGTTTATCTATTAAATGATAAAAATAAAGCTTTGAACAGACTGCTTAGAAAAATCTGTCCTGCTGCAGTGTAAATAACCTTCACCACCTTGTAGTTACTCAGGTCATCATATTAACACTGCCAAACCACACCCACCTAAGATTTCTGTGTGATGAAACTACTCATTAAAACAATTACTATTCAAATCATGCCTAATAATTCCTACTACAAATAATCATGGTAACATTGTTAGATCCAAGTCATCCTAACACATCACACTATGCAATGGTTGTACATATATGCATAACAAGTGTGTATTTTTTTATATATAACATCATTGAGTGATATCTAAATTTTTAACATTTTCATAGTATTTATATAATAACATTATATTTATTCAACAACCCTATCGCCAGTAAATTGAAATTAAGTAAATGTGGATCTTTCAAAGCCATGTCTAGTATTCACACTATAACCATTATTGTACATTAACTGTATTTTACAACAATTATTGGCAAATACTACTGTTAGTTTAAATTGTAAAACTTTCTGCCAGTCTTTGTATGAATCTTACATTCCAGAACGCTGATGTTCATTGTATGTTCTTTCATTTCTTATTGTCATATCCTTATACACTGTGTATTTTGTATTACTTATTTTTCTACATTGTGATGTTAACCTATCTTTTATACCAGTATTTTTAAACCTGGGGTTCATATTGACGCTATAACTTTTTTATTTTGAAAGAAAGTTCTATTTCTATATCATTACCACCACAAGTCCCTTTTCCATATTCCTTCACAATTTTCTTGCTTAATAAAATTCATTTCAGACTGAATTTGTGTCTGCTGGATCCCATTTCTGATGAGCACATAACTCAGTCTGATCTGAATGTGACATGAATAAGTTGTTCTCATCCATCTCCCCTAATGCATCAACATACAGGCTATTTTGTCACTAAGTCCTTGAATAGTGCAGATATTATTTCATGCTCTTGATGATAAATATTTTTGTTAACACTTTTCATAAATAAAACATTTTTAAAGTATACGACTTGTTTTATTTTATTATCTATGCATATACATATAAATATATATGAAGTGTTCCTCTGAAATCTCTACAAAATGTACCATTAAGTGATTTACTATGGAGTTTTCACACAGTAGTTAGTGTAGCCCAATTTTACACGATTACTGTTCCCATGGTTACTAACTCCCTAAAATCCTGACTGGCTGGGATTTTAGGTCAGTATTGTTGTTGATTGGCTGGTAAATATAGCAAACTGCTACTCTGAATATGATTGAAACATAATTTTTTTTTTCATAGCACAGTGATTCAAACAAAAAAATCCCTGACAGGCCTCTGGTCAAATGTAGTGCGCCCTCATTTTGGGGTTGTTGACAGTTGTATTTCAATTATCGGACTCATTGAAACTACATGAGAATAGTGAGGCAAATGACCGACAAGACTTCTAAGAAATTTGGTATGTGCCAAATTCTCTATTTTCTGAAAAATAAATATCCAAAAAATGTTTGCAAGTCAGTAAATTTATGTGAAACATCCATAAATATAAAGACAATATCTGTGAAGTTGTGTACAAAGTATGTAAAGATGTGTACAAAGTGGTTCAAGTAAAGTGCAAAGTCCATCTTGTTATAGACATAGTGGCAGTCATTCTAGTGAAGAATGTTTCTCGTATGTGTATGCGCAAATCCATACTATTGAAATTATTTAATTTGAGAAATAAATAGCATAAAAAAGAGTTCTATGTTATATACTTAATAATATTATCTTAAATGAATATAATGCAGTTAACAATATGCAAGTTTTGTAAAAAATGCATCAAATATTCAGAGGTGGCGGCACGAAATTTTGCATGGGGGGGGGGGGGGTTGAGATCTGCACACCAACCATGTGCTAAAGGTACTTGGGAGTCTGGGGGCATGCTCCCCCCTTAAAAAATGACCTTCTGAAACGCCATTTCCTTTTGCATTTTGAGGGGCAAATTTTGCCGACACAAAGGGTTTCAGCTTTATTTTAGAGAGTCGACGACCCCCAAACATTATTTTCGAGTCGAACATACAAGATAACCAACATTCTTTGTAGCAACGCTGGGTTGGAACGTAATAGTTGTTTAGAGCACAGTGATTCGAAAATTACGGTCCATAATCATGTTGCCAAATACCGCGTAAGTACGCCCTCATTTCGAGGTTGTTGGCAATTATTTTTCAATGAGATTCGGTAAGGCCGAATTCTAAGCAAACTCAGTGGGTAAAGTTAAGTGCAAATTTAGTAATATACATGCAAAGTCGATAAAGTTACACAGAAGGTCCACAATGATACGCGCTAAGTCCGTGATAAAACGTGCAAAGCCGGTAAAGGATCGTGTTGCTACGTGCTAAGTCGACCAAGTTGTCTGCAAAGTCGGTAAAGTCAAGTTGAAAATCCGTAAATTTTATGATTTGTCTCTAAAGTTACGTGTAATTTCTGCGTGCAAATTCTCTAGAGTTATGTACAAAGT